TTCTTCTGAGTGGTCTCATGATTAATCTGGACGAGACTGTGTGGGTAGAAACACATATCCTCCATTTTAATGGATTTGTATTTACATCTATTGCGCTTTTTTATCTACAAGCCTAAGTTAATAAAGGAAACGAGGGATGAACATTATTGTAAGGTTTTGGAATGCTCTGCCAAAGGGAAGCCTCTTAGTAAGGTTTTGGAGAGCTCTGCCAAAGGGAAGCCTCTTAGTAAGGTTTTGGAAAGCTCTGCCAAGGGGAAGCCTCTTAACATCCTGTGAGCCATGTCATATATGATAAATTACGAACACAAAAAAAGTTGGGAAGAAGTCGGGCTGAACGAAAAAATGAATGAAATGGGTGTGGCATACGTAGCTGCCACAATGTCCAAAGTGGCCTGCAAATGGTGGATGCCGTATTGCCATCAATGTGTTAGCAGGAATGAAAGTCCTTTTCTGATCCACACAAAACCTTTGCAACGCTCAGTTAAAGAAATCGAAAAAAAGGAGATTAAACGAAGGAAATATTGTAAACATAGCAGCTAGCTCACTTGAAAAGCGAAATTGAATGCCTGAATCAGAGTCCAGTGCACTGAGTCACGCATCTTCACAGAATCGTAAGTTCTTCGAACATCAGAGCAAAGCTCCGCTATTCCGCTAGCCAGAATGTCTGTCAGATCTAAGAAGGCTTCCTAAAAATATGCCAATAGCAATAAACCCAGACAAGATAATCAAAACAGTTATAATATTAATGAATATGCTGTAACTTGATTACGGATTATAGGGAGCAACAACGAATGAAAAAAAGAAGAATTTCAGATGCTCACCGCCAGTTTCTTGAGTTCTCGGTCCACGTTGTAATGCGATGAACAAGACGTTAGCATCAGCTCAAACATTCCGGGATATCGCTTTTCCAATCTGCAATCCACACCAACAGCACAGACCACATCTGTCTGAAATCACAAAAAGCATTTGACAAAAGCGAGAGATTCACATCAATATAAGTGCTGGTGGCCATGAGAAGAACGAAACAACTTACTCGCAGGTAGTGAATGTTTTCCATTACATTTTCCTCGAGAGTGAGTTTCACTCGCCGGTAATTCCACAACCACCTAGAAACACATTTTAGGCAACACCGCGATCTGACCTGAACTTCTTGACCCGATCACCACGCTAAATGAAACGATATTATTCGCTAAGTACACAAGCAACTTGCCTAAGTTCTTGTTTTGGAAACACAAGAATCCGCCCATATTCAGGTTTTCTTCCTTCAGCAAGTGCAGTGACCAAGTCCTGTGCCAACGCCTTATCAGCGCTTGCCGAGTCGATCAGCACACACACAGCAACAGACTCCTCGCCAAAATCAACCTGTAATCAGGCAGTTATTCCTTGTAAACAAATGAAAACCAATTTGAGAACAAACTAGGCAATAATCAGGACGGAGAGCAGCGAGAACATCTTCCAGAGGCTGTGTCATGACATAGCCAGACGCATCATGAAGGTCCATTAAAGCACCACGGAGCAAAGCAACGAGCCTCCCGGAGCGTTCTTTTACCTAAATCAGAGGATAGAATTCGCTCAACGTACGACTGCTGAGAATAACAGCATGTATAACGCCATAATAAATGACACAGAAGAATAATCTTCCTGCACCTCTCTGATTACGCTATT